TGTCACCTCCCCAGGGAAGCCTTCCTAGATCCCCTCACGCTGGGTTAAACCCCCCTCTACACACACTTGCACACACTTGCACTATAAGTATATATATATATCTTTTATGACACATCATAATTGTAATTAAAATTATTATAATGAAACTATGATACAATGTTGTAATTGAATAATTATTGGCATAATTATTTAACAATGCCACACTATAAACTCCATGAAATCAGGGACTAGATCTGTTTTATTCATCATTCACCCCTGTGTCCTTAGAGCCGGGTACAAGGACAGAAAGGCACAGGGTGGACACTTGAAGCTTTTATTCAATGAATGTATCTATTAAGTACCTACTATATGCGAGGCACTACACAGACATCTAACCTTCACCACGACTTTGCAAAGTGAGTGTTAATTACACTCATTTTTTGATGAGAACTCTGAGGGGACCTGCCCAAGGTCACACAGCTAAAATAGGGACCAGGCAGGCAGCACTTCAACTCCAATCGACCGAGCCAGCTAGCCCTTGGCATCCTCCATCTCCTTGGGCTGTAAAGTCCAAAGTGAGAAGTCTGTCTCTGATTTCCTACCCTTCCCTCTTCTGGACTCCCCACTTCCCCCATCCACTGTCTCGAGCACCCCTCTACCATCAAACTTGTTCTTAGAACACATTATTCACAGTCAGGTGCAAGTAGCAGATAGCTCAGATTTCCCATGGGGGAATTACATATGCACAAGAGATCATGATTTAAGCTTACAGGCCCAAACCCTACTGGTGGAATTTTAGGCATGAGCTACCCAAGAAAGGAGAAACCACACTAGGATGCCACTGCGTTTTTTGTTGGCCAGAGGCCAGGTCTGCTTCCATCGGCTGCCTTTTCCTCTCTACACTGTCAGCATCATCTACATTAACCCCCCAGGGACCTCCTGCCACTCTTGCCAGGTGAGCAGGCAACCTGCAGCACAGTAGGAAGTGCACTGGCCCACGTCAGGAGGCTTCTTTCCTGGCAACAGCGCTGTCCCAATGTGCTATGTGGCTTTGGGCAGTCCCTTGAACTTTCTGGGCCTCAGTGTCCCTCTCTCCCAGTTGCGGGAGTTGGATGATCTCGCAGATTCCTTCCAGCTCTGGATGTCTGCTTCTGACAGACTGGGCCGTCCTGTCCTTGATAGTGAGAGCTCACACTCGCAGAGCACTCCCTATGCTTGGGCTCTGTTCTAAGAACCCCACAGTTATTACTCACTCGAGGATGACACTCACACTGCAAGGCATTGTCCCTGTTTTACAATTGAAGAAAGTGAGGCCCGGGAGAGGTTAATTCACCTGCTCAAGGTCACTAGTACATTGTGGCATAAAATATTATCCCCAAATTTTGTGGTGGCAAGCAGCAACCACTTATTCTGTGGATCAGGAATTTGGGAAGGGCTCCACTGAGCAGACCTTGCATGGGGTCTCTCATGTGAGTGTCACCAGACCCTAGCTGGGGCTGCATCAAAGTTGGACACCCAAGATGGCTCACTCACATGCCTAGTAGTTAATGCTGGCTGTCGGCTGGGAGGTCACTGGGCCTACTGTGGCCTCTCCAGCATGGTTGTCTCAAAGTAGTCAGACTTCTTACAGGGAGCCTGGCTTCCCCTAGAGTGTGTCACCCGAGTGAGCCAGGAGGAAGCTGCCGTACCTTTCTGACCCAGCTTTGGGAGTTATGCACAGCACTTCTGCTTTCTCCTGGTTACAAGCCAGTCACTAAAGCTGACCCAGATTTAAGGGAAGGTGACATAGACCCTACCTTTCATTGGGAGGAAAGTCAAAGAATGTGCACACATGTTTTAAAACCACCCCAGGGACTCAGCTGATAAGTGGAAAAGCTGGAATTTGAGCCTGCAAAGGATGGCTCATTGCTGGTCTCTCAGGCTTTCCTCCTGGGTCCCTGAGATTCCTTCCCCGGTCCCAGGCCAACCTTCCCCGACCTCTCCGTTGTCCTTGCCCCTCTTCGAAGGCCTCTGAGGTGCTGCTCTCCCTCTGGCCTGCCTTCCCTCTGCCCTGGTCTTAGGAGGCCAAGCAGAGCAGTGGAAAGGGCACCGACTTTGGAGTTAGGCTGCCCCAGGCTCCAATCCCATACCCCACTCACTGTGACCTTGAGTAAGTCACTTCCCCTCTGAAAGCCTCAGTTCTTCATCTGTAGAACGAGGGGGAGGATGTTCATCCAATGAACAAGTATTTACTGAGCACCCAACTTTTGCCAGGCACTCTTCTACGCTCTGGGGAGGGGGAGAGAGAGACAATAAGCAAATAAGCGAGGAAAAAATATGTATTATATATATATGATATAACATATATATAAGATATGTATGGTGCTGATAAGGGCTAAAGAGAGAAATAAAGCAAGGTAAGCAGGATTTGGCATTTCAGGGAAGGGTGTTGCTATTTTACAAAGGGTGATACGGGAAGACATAACTGAGAAAGTGATGTTTGAGCAGAGACCTCTTCATGGTGAGCCACGAGGCTCTCTGGAGGGAAAAGTGTTTTGGGCAGAGGGAACAGCAAGTTCAGGACAGTGGGTCTGGAGCCCAGAGAGCCAGTGATGTGGTAAGAGGTAAGGCAGAGATGTGGCGGAGCCAAAGGAGTTAGGACCTTGTCGGACTTGGACTTTGACCCTGAGTGAGATGGGAGCCACAGAGGGGTTTGGGGCAGAGGAGTGGCAGCCTCTGACTTCAGTTTTCACAGGATCCCTCTGGCTGTTGGGCGTGGACAAGGGGTAGGGGCCAAGGGCACAAACATGGAGTCCAGAGAGGAGGCTGCTTCGAGACTCCTGGTGAGAGACACTGGCAGCTTGGCTCAGGGTGGTAACGATGGGAGTGGCGAGAAGTGGTCAGATTGTGGACACATTTTGGGTGTAGAACTGATAGGAACTGCTGATGGATTGAATGTGGTATGTGGGAGAGAGGAGTCAAAGATGACTCCAAGATTTATGGCCTGAACAACGGGGGAAAATGGAGCTGCCAATTACAAAGATGGAGACAGCTAGGATGGGAGTTGACTCTTCACCACTACACCAGGCTGATTTTGAGGTCTAGGTCTGGTTCCCTGGAAAGCGGAGGGATCAGGAGCATGTACCCGTGCCAGGCAGCATGCTAGGTGTTTTACATATTGTGGTAGGCAGAATTGTAAGAATGACCACAAAGATCCTCTCCGTGGTTTAATCCGCCTCCCATTTGAGGCGGAACCTGTGAATATGACGAGATACCATTACTGTGATTATGTCACATTATAGGACAAGAGAGTGGACTTAATTAATCACACAGGCCCTTTCAAAGCACCGAGTTTTCTCAGGCTAGTACGCAGAAGGGAAGTTAGAGAGATCCAAAGGACACACCCGGATGCTGACCTTAAAGATGGAGGAGGCCATGAGCAAAGACTAGAGAGCCACTTCTAGGAGCCGAGAGCAACTCCCAGCCAATGGCCAGCAAGGGAACAGGGGCCTCAGTCCTATAGCCACAAGGAACCGCATACTGCCAACAACCTGAATGAGCTTGGAAGCGGATTCTTCTCCAGAGCTACCAGATAAGAGCCCAGTCTGGCCGCTGTCTTGTGAGGCCCTAAGCAAAGAACCCAGCGGAGCCTGCTCAGACTTGTGACCTACAGAATTGTAAACTAACAAATAGACGTTGTTTTTAAGCCTCTTAGTTTGTTACGCAGTGATAGAAAACTAATACATATGTTATCTTACTTACTCCTCACAACCATCCAAAATGGAGGGTTCCTGACCCCCTTGTACAGATGAGGAAACAGGTAGGTGAGGTAAAGGGCTTTGCCCTAGGCCACACAGACGGACAGTGCCACAGTTGGGAATGAAACTCTTGCCATCTCCACAGGCTGCTTCACAAAGAGGGGGTGGGAGCAGCTGGGAGAAGTTAGACATCTGGGGTCTGACTGGATGGGACCTCGGGCCCTGGGTCAAGGTGAGAGAATGGGGTGCAGGTTTCTGATTTTGATTGTGTTCATCCTGGGGGCTCTGAGTGTCTGAGGTTGGGTGTATGTATACGGGGGAGTGTCTGTGGGAGCCTGGCGGAGTGTGTCTGTGAGTCCCTGTGAGAGTCTGCGGGTGTCTGAGCATCAGAATGTATCCCTCACTGGGACTGACTGAGTCCGTGCGCCTGGGTCTCCGTGTGAGCGTGTCTGAGTGTTTCTTTGAGGGTCTGTGTCTGAGGGTGACTGTGTATGTGAGTCTGACGGTGTTTGGCAGAGTGTTTCTGAGTGTGTCTCTGAGTGAGTGAGCCTGTGGTTGAATCTCTCCAAGTGTGTGGGTCTGAGGGTGTCTGTGGTGTACCTTGTACAGTGAACGCATTCGTGTGGGGCCCGTTGGTGGGTTCACTTGTGATTTTGAGGGTCTGTGTGGGAGGCTGAGCGCTGAGGGGAGTGTGCGGGTCGCTCTGAGTGTATCCCCTCTGAGCGCGCATGAGGCCTGTCTCGCTCGGCGACGGGACGCCTACATCCGGGGCGAGTCTCAGGGCTGAGTGTGGGGGTTGGGGCAGAGTGGGGGACACGGCCACCGGCCCCGGGCGCCAAGAGCCGGCCGGCTCCTCCCCCGGGGCGCGCACACCTGCCGGGCTGGGGCGGCGGCGAGG